ACAAAACCTACTTCATTCAGTTTGGTAACAGAGCTCAGATGTACCTCTTAACAAAAACGATTAACAGATCACCTATCACAAAGCTAACAGAGGGAAAATTTCTTAGGAATCCACCTTGATAATAGACTCAAATTCATACCATAACAACCCAAATTTCTAAGAAAATTTCCAAGACTGTAGGCTACTATCGAAGATACGGTACTATGTTCCACAGTCACCCTCCTGGCCCTTTAACACTCTCTTATTTACCCCTATCTCACCTATGGAATTTTGGGGCATGGGGCTCAACAACAATTAACCATCTCAAACCACTAATTACCCAACAAAAGGCTGCAGTTAGAATGATAACAAATTCTCACTACAGGCAGCACACTCCACCAATATTCAAAACACCAAACCCACTCACCATACAAAACATCCATACTTATTACTGCACCTATTACATACATAGAACACTTAACTCTGATATTAACCCTCCCCTCAAACCTCCTTGCCAACCTCAACAGAACACATGACCATAACACAAGGCACCAGATCACTCTTTGATGTTCCCCGTGTCCATCTCACGTATGCAAAAACTCATGCACATAAAAGGCCCTAAAATTTTGGAATTCATTACCTGTACATATAAAAGAAACATTACCTGTTTATAAATTCAAGTCTCTTCTCCAAAGATCACTTACTCACTCAAAACCAAATAAATACTGAATAACTGAACCTTATAAATTGTATATCCTATATGTTACTCCCCAAAAATATCACACAAATGTTAAAAATAGGACCCAATCTAACTTTATTATTTATTTAAATACACTACCTAACAGAATACTCCTTCGACTGAATGTACAGCAATGCAAGCAACCATATGACCTGTCTTTGTAATTAAATCATTTGTGCCCTTTTTGTTATCTGTTTACATAATGGTTTTATCACTGATTTCATCATTGCTTAGTTTAATCTAAGTTAATTTTAAGCCAGCCCGTAATGCTATGCATAAAAAGTGGCTTTGGCATGCTGCTCTTACCTTTATTTTTTTGTACCTCTGTATGTATGCTAAAATTACCCAAATAAATAATAAAAAATAATATTCTGTCTGTGTGGGTCATCCCACCATGAAAATGGCGAAAGCTCGACTTTTTCCTTCCCTAAAACGCCAACTGATATAAATTCAGACACAAATGTCCTTGCATGGGGACAGATCACTGTCTTTCTACGCATGTACCGTCCAAAACCTACTATGAAAGGCTTGACAGCTATGTTGGCCTGCAGGTCGTTGGCATCAACAGCCTGGGTGACCAGGTACCCCTAAGGAAAGAGTAGGGGGATAGGGGTAAATATGACAGATGTAGTGTTAAGATACCTGTGACCGGTTTTTGAGGGCTATAAAACTCGTAGCTTGGCTTAAAGCCGGTCAATTAGGCTGTTGGTGTCAGCGGCCGGCAGGCTAACACAGCCATCACATCTTAGTGCCACATCCACATCAACAACATCTTTTGGCCACACCCACAGCAGCAGCAACCACGCCTAGTGGCCACACCCACAACAATCACACCTGGTGGTCACACCCACAGCAGTAAACCACACCCACATCAGCAACCCACACCTGGTGGCCACACTCACGCAGCAACCACACCTGGTAGCCACATTCACGAAGCAACCACACACCTGGTGACCACACCCACATCAGCAACCACACACTGGTGGCCACACTCACGGCAGCAACCACACCTGGTGGCCACACGTGACCACACCCACATCAGTAACCACACCTGGTGGCCACACTCATGGCAGCGCCACACTGGTGGCCTCACTCACGGCAGCAACCACACCTGGTGACCACACCCACAGCAGTAACTACACCTGATGACCACACCCACATCAGCAACCACCTGGTGGCCACACTCACGGCAGCAACCACACCTGGTGACCACACCCACAGCAGTAACTACAACCCGGTGACTACACCCACAGCAGTAACCACACCTGGTGGCCACACCCACATCAGTAACCACACCTGGTGGCCACACCCACAGCAGTAACCATACCTGGTGACCACACCACATCAGTAACCACACCTGGTGGCCACACTCACGGCAGCAACCACACCTGGTGACCACACCCACATCAATAACCACACCTGGTGACCACACCCACATCAACAACCACACCTGGTGACCACACCCACATCAACAACCACACCTGGTGACCACACCCACATCAACAACCACACCTGGTGACCACACCCACAACAACCACACCTGTTCTAAGCAGGACAATGGGAACACAGAGGGAGGCTGCACACCAGATATTTCCTACACATTACGAAGAACATCAGAAAATGGATAAAATTATAATAATTTATTACTGCATTTACGGGAAAGCGCAAAACCCGTAGGTGTTATACGCCAACAACAGTTTTAATATTGACTTCTGGAAGGTACAGTGCTACACTGTAACTTGATCAACTTGCATTCCGTTTTCAGTGATAATTTTGGAAACGCTTTATTACATTCCTTTTCAAAACTGTTCTCAATATGCGATATCTACATAACTTCTCCAGTTATACATAAAACAACAGCGGATTACAGTGTATAACCCACTAACAAATAAAGTGCTTTAACTGTTCTCAATATGTCCGATAGCAATTTGGAAAAAAATAATACTGAGTAATATTTCTCCAGGAGAAATGTGAGAGAAACGAGTTGTGTAATCATAAGACATTGCTTAAGGTTAGTGTATAATGCATTTGAAAAGTAAGTTCACCAGGATATATACTCGTACACCGTGGGAGTATAATTAAACAAGATTTTTAAGTGTGAACTGATAAGCCAGCGGAAGGCCTCGGTCAGATGACCAAAAACTCCAGCTGTGGCTCGTCATATGGTTGAGACTCGTCAGGAAACGCCTGTTCTGTTTCCTGACAAACCTGAGTATGCTCTCAGCATATATATCCCACTTCCCGCTCACCCCACAAGGATCTTACCTACATTCTCTTGTCTTGTCTTACATATATATACTCATAGTTTATTTTAAATCCTATTTTATGCATTAAGGGTATTCTTGACTGGTGGTGAAAAGGTTACATGCAGTCTTAATGACTGTTTTGAATATTTGATAGGCTTTAGTCTCATTCCCATCAAAGCAGTTTCTTTGATGATGGTGAGAGGATTCTAAGACACTGGACTAGAGCTCCAATTCCTTGAATCAAAGTCTGAATCCTTGCTTCCTCGAGGCACTGCATGACCCCTATGGGTTTTGTGCTCCCCATGAATGTATGTAATTTAGGCCTAATTAACAAAGCAACTAACTTCACCCTTACTGGAACAATGCCTTTGGTTTCCATAACTACTGTCCACGTGGACGGCTGGACGACATCCTAGCGCCCGTGTAGGAGTAACTCCAGAGCTGCTGGAAGCATTCAGAAGTCCCACTGAATGCATCGAAAACTAGTGTATGAACATTATTATCACATCGGGTGGCAAGCACTAAACCCATAACGGCCCTACAGCTCCTGGTGAATGGAAGTAATAAACTTTGACTGAAAATAACCATCCTACGTTATAATTGTGTTAGGTAAACACAACTCTTGCTTTACTTAACCTTGTAGGATCTCGTATGAATCACAGGAGCCGCATAATGTGTTCTAACATACTTTATGAAGGAAAAATGTAGGTGTCAAATATAATGTACGTCAAACGAAAATCGCCTTATAAATAATGTTCACGTGAACTTTAATATATGGTTCAAGTTTGCTAGTCAGAACTCTTTAAAACTTTACGGACCTATTGTGTTCAAATTGGGGTTTTGAGATATTGTAGCTTACTAGCATTTATGTTGGGTCTTAAAATGAAAACACTTGCGGTAACATAATAATAATAATAATCTTATTTCTATAAGTACATGTACAATGTTTACAGGCTATGCTAACATCAATGACATACTACTATATAGAGCGCCCCTGGTTATGCTGAGCACTTCGGGCAAATTAGGTCAATTTTGTCAACAGGATGCGACCTACACCAGTCGACTAACACCCAGGTTACATATTTTACTGCTAGGCGAAGAGGGACAGCTGGTGTCTTAAGGAAACACGTCCTGATGTTTCCACTCGTACCGGGGATCGAACCACGGATCTCACTGTGCTACCAATCGAGCTACAAGACACCATACAATTCTTCACTTAAGAGCAGGAGGCTGAGGATAATTTTCTTTATAAATTCACGTGAAGAGCTAAACCCATATAGGTCATTCAGCTCAAGCAGTAATGGAGCTCAGTGTGCAACACTTATCCCTGAGAAAGTATGAAGAAAACAAGAGGTTAATTAAGTCTTGGTGAGAGACAAAGAATAAACAAGGTAAATGCAAAACTACTGATTATATGAGACTTCATTCACAGAGAAGTTGATTGGGACAACTGGGACTAGTGTAAGGGACCAAAATAATGGAAAGTTAATGAAGGCAGTAGTGAAAAAATACTATGGCCGAAACATGAGAGAAATTACAAGAGCGAGGCGGGGATGAGCCGGCAAGACTTGACTCGATATTCACTCAAAATGAATTTGACATAGACAATATAGCCTACAGAATACAATAGGAACAAGCAATCACACAGTGGTAAAATTTGGTTATCTACTAGAAGTAAGACCGGAGAGATTAATGGAACCAGAGGCCAGAGAATATGAAGGAAGTGGGGAGAGAAACTTCATGTACTGTTTTAAGAGTAGGTTTGAAAGGCTCGTGAAGCCAGATTATTATTATAATCAAGGGGGAAGCGCTAAACCCAGAGGATTATACAGCGCCTGGGGGGAGGGGGATGTGGAAGGCATTCAGGCTTAATTCGGGGAACTGGAGCACAGATCCAATTCCCTAAATCAAGAGCCCCGCACCAACATCAAGGAACCGTGAAGCCAGAAATCAGAACTGAGCAACGAAAACTAGACTACTACAAACACAAATCGGCGACTACATCAATACACTGACATATTAATTATTACACTTACCCACAGTTACACTGCCCCATGATAATTACACTGACCCACGAGAAGTACAGTGACTCGTGGTCATTAGGCTGAGGCACTATATATAGAATTAAGCACGGCACATGGTCCTGAGCGAGACCATAACACTGACACTCCCACAGTCTTAGTTCACAGTAGTCACCAAGACAGTGTATCCTTCACCATGTCCGCTCATACACTGACTCCACTCTCACTCCTGCCTCCTCCCTCCCTCCATCCATAATACCCCCCCCCCCCCCCTCCTTCAATTTTTACCTTCCTCCACCGCCCTCTCCCTTCCTCTTTCCATTTCTACCATTCCGCTGTCTTCATCTCATCCTCCATTCCTTCAACCTTACTCTATACATTTCCTCACTTCCCTTCACCGACTTTTATCATTCTCTTTCTTCACACCTTCCCTCTTCTTCTCCCCTCCCTCCTCCCTCTTGCTATCCACCCCTCCATCTCGTCCTCCACCTATCCTTCCTCCTGACCTCTCTTTGTTCATTACGAAGAGGGAGAAGATGAAGTAAGCTGAGGTGAAATATACAAATTAACCCATTGCAAGTCACCGCAAGTCACTGCAACAAACCACACGCCACTGTAAGCAACTGTAACCCACGACAAGCGATTGTAATCCACCATAATCCACTGCAATTCACGACAGTCACTGTAAACCACTGCAAATCACTACAATCCACTGCAAGCAGCAGTGGATAGAGACCATATGCTATTAGAAAGTACAGGAAGATTAATAAACAATAAGTCACAATACCGTGGTTGGAACAATAAAAGTCACAATACCAGGGGCTGGAACAATGTCACAATATCGTTGGTGGAACAATAAGTCACAATACCGTAGTTAAAATAATAAAAGTTACAATACCGTACTGGAAAATAAAAAATCCAAAATACCCAAAATAACAAATAACCAAGAGAGTAGTGTCAACAGAGTTAAATCGGAGGCTGCCATAGTGAAGAGCTCTGTTCCACAAGGCACAGTACTCGCCCCCATCTTATTCCTTATCCTCATATCAGACATAAACAGAGATATACACCACAGCACCGTATCATCCTTTGCGGATGATACTAGATCTGCATGAGGCTTCACTGCTGAGACGCCGGTTACCTCCAAGAAGATAAAAATAAGTTTTCAAGTGGGCAACAGTAAACAATATGATGTTCAATGAGGACAAATTCCAACTACTCGCTTATGGAAAACTGAGGAGATAATAACTTAAACAGAGTAATAACTAACTGACTCCGGGACTGGGAGTAGTATGTCTGTAGGATCTCACTTCAATGATCACAACAGTGCCACGATCGCAACGTGCAAAAAAAATGATTAGATGGATAATGAGAACTTCAAACTGAGAGTTGCAAGCCCATGATGATCCTTCAAAACACTGTTCTCTCTAGCTGGAAAACTTGCTGTAACATTAACATCTCCATACAAAGCAGGTGAAAATCGCAGATCAAAGAGTGTACAAAGATCGCATTTACTGCACTATAAGTGTCTGTCAAGGCACCATAATTTTACTGGGAACGCTTGGAAGCACTTGACTTGTACTCGTTTAGGAACGCAGGAGGAGAGATAAATCATCATAATCTACACTTGGAAAATCTTGGAAGGAATGGCCCAATCGCACACAGAAATCACCCCTACGAAAGTAAAGAACGGGCAGCATTGCAAATGCCCCCACTAAAAAGTAGGGGCCACATTGGTACACAAGAAGAAAACACCATGAAAGTGGTCCGGGGCCCAAAATGTTCAACAACCTCCCATCAAGCATTAGGGGAATTGCCAATAAACCCCTGGCTGCCTTCAAGAGAGAGCTGGACAGATACCTAAAGTCAGTGCCGGATCAGCCGGGCTGTGCTCGTACGTCGACTGCGTGCGGCCAGCATAACAGCCAGTTGATCAGCCGATTCATCGGAACAGTAAAATGCACAACACCGTGGCTGGAACAATAAAGGTCACAACACCGTGGCTGGAACAATAAAGTCACAACACCGTGCTGGAACAATAAAGGTCACACACCGTGGCTGGAACAATAAAGGACACAACACCGTAGCTGGAACAATAAAGGTCACAACACCGTGGCTGGAACAATAAATGTCACAACACCGTGGCTGGAACAATAAAGGACACAACACCGTAGCTGGAACAATAAAGGTCACAACACCGTGGCTGGAACAATAAATGTCACAACACCGTGGCTGGAACAATAAAGGTCACAACACCGTGGCTGGAACAATAAATGTCACAACACCGTGGCTGGAACAATAAAGGTCAACAACACCGTGCTGGAACAATAAATGTCACAACACCGTGGCTGGAACAATAAAGGTCACAACACCGTGGTTTTAACTGGAACAATAAATGTCACAACACCGTGGCTGGAACAATAAAGGTCACAACACCGTGGCTGAACAATAAAGTCACAACACCATGGCTGGAACAATAAAGGTCACAACACCGTGGCTGGAACAATAAATGTCACAACACCGTGGCTGGAACAATAAAGGTCACAACACCGTGGCTGGAACAATAAAGTCACAACACCGTGGCTGGAACAATAAGTCACAACACCGTGGCTGGAACAATAAAGGTCACAACACCGTGGGCTGGAACAATAAATGTCACAACCCATGGCTGGAACAATAAAGGTCACAACACCGTGGCTGGAACAATAAATGTCACAACACCGTGGCTGAACAATAAAGGTCACAACACCGTGGCTGAACAATAAAGTCACAACACCGTGCAGGAACAATAAATGTCACAACACCGTGGCTGGAACAATAAAGTCACAACACCGTGGCTGAACAATAAAGGTCACAACACCGTGACTGGAACAATAAAGGTCACAACACCGTGACTGGAACAATAAAGGTCACAACACCGTGGACTGGAACAATAAGGTCACAACACCGTGACTGGAACAATAAAGTCACAACACCGTGGCTGGAACAATAAAGGTCACAACACCGTGGCTGGAACAATAAAGTCACAACACCGTGACTGGAACAATAAAGGTCACAACACCGTGACTGGAACAATAAAGGTCACAACACCGTGGCTGGAACAATAAAGGTCACAACACCGTGGCTGAAACAATAAAGGTCACAACACCGTGACTGGAACAATAAAGGTCACAACACCGTGGCTGGAACAATAAAGGTCACAACACCGTGGCTGAAACAATAAAGTCACAACACCGTGACTGGAACAATAAAGTCACAACACCGTGGCTGGAACAATAAATGTCACAACACCGTGGCTGGAACAATAAAGGTCACAACACCGTGGCTGGAACAATAAAGGTCACAACACCGTGCTGGAACAATAAAGGTCACAACACCGTGGCTGGAACATAATGTCACAACACCATGGCTGGAACAATAAAGGTCACAACACCGTGACTGGAACAATAAAGGTCACAACACCGTGGCTGGAACAATAAAGGTCACAACACCGTGCTGGAACAATAAAGGTCACAACACCGTGCTGGAACAATAAAGGTCACAACACCGTGGCTGGAATAATAAGTCACAACACCATGGCTGGAACAATAACGGTCACAACACCGTGACTGGAACAATAAAGGTCACAACACCGTGGCTGGAACAATAAAGGTCACAACACCGTGGCTGGAACAATAAATGTCACAACACCATGGCTGGAACAATAAAGGTCACAACACCGTGGCTGGACAATAAATGTCACAACACCATGGCTGGAACAATAAAGGTCACAACAACCGTGGCTGGAACAATAAAGGTCACAACACCGTGGCTGGAACAATAAATGTCACAACACCGTGGCTGGAACAATAAAGGTCACAACACCGTGACTGGAACAATAAATGTCACAACACCGTGGCTGGAACAATAAAGGTCACAACACCGTGGCTGGAACAATAAAGGTCACAACACCGTGGGCTGGAACAATAAATGTCACAACACCGTGACTGGAACAATAAAGGTCACAACACCGTGGCTGGAACAATAAAGGTCACAACACCGTGACTGGAACAATAAAGGTCACAACACCGTGACTGGAACAATAAAGGTCACAACACCGTGACTGGAACAATAAAGGTCACAACACCGTGACTGGAACAATAAATGTCACAACACCGTGGCTGGAACAATAAAGGTCACAACACCGTGACTGAACAATAAAGTCACAACACCGTGGCTGGAACAATAAAGGTCACAACACCGTGGACTGGAACAATAAAGGTCACAACACCGTGACTGGAACAATAAATGTCACAACACCGTGGCTGGAACAATAAAGGTCACAACACCGTGGCTGGAACAATAAAACTCACAATATCGTTGAAACCATTCACAAACACACTACAACTTAGGGTCGTCCTGGGCCACTATTAAGCCATAACAACACACACAACTTAGGGTCGTCCTGGCACTATTAACCATAACAACACACTACAATTAGGTCCCTGGGCCCTACTATAAGCCATATAAACACCTACAACTTAGGTCGCCTGTGCACAATTAAGCCTACAACACACTAACAACTTAGGTCTCACCTGGGCCACCTAATAAGCCATAACAACACACTACAACTTAGGGTCGTCCTGGGCCACTATTAAGCCATAACAACACACTACAACTTAGGGTCGTCCTGGGCCACTATTAAGCCATAACAACACACTACAACTTAGGGTCGCCTGGCCACTATTAAGCCATATTAACAACACACTACAACTTAGGGTCGTCCTGGGCCACTATTAAGCCATAACAACACACTACAACTTAGGGTCGTCCTGGGCCACTATTAAGCCATAACAAAGTTGTATATCTTAACTGAGGTGCAGCTTAAATAATAGTTTAGATAGATTTTGGGCGCGTAGGTGCCAATTTATTAAAGAAATTTCGACATTAATTTCCATGAGATATCTTGTTAATATCTCTTCTGATTGCCTTCAGATTTCCAACATCGATATTTGATTGCATTAAAAATTCATGCCGCACTCTGTACTATTCATTTTTCGTGTACCGAGGTAGAGGGAATTGGGCTTATGGGATACGGGGATACCTCTCTGGGATCGTGCAGCAACAGAAAAATATGTAGCTATTAAACCAAACCGCGGAAAGGGTGGGATTTGAACTCACTCGCCATGGGTTCAAACCCCACCCGTTCCGTGGTTTGTTTG